ATTTTACTGGGACTTTTTTTGGGCATCTTGAGTGTCTTGCCCAAAGGCACTTGGACCGGAACACCACCCATCTTCTAACTGGTGGAGAACCCCAGTAATGTGTTGCAGTAAACAAAGAAAAACAGCTTCAAGGCAGACACTCAGTGCCTAAAGTGACAATAAAAGCACAGCACAGTTGTCAGAGATGAGCTGGGTTTGAATGAAAATGATAAAATATTACATTAAGCCCAGCAACAGCCCACCTGCTCAGGAGTGGCAGACTGTGAAAATGCAAACTTCAAACAGAGTAAAAGGTTTTACTTTGAAATGTGTTGATTAAAAACAAGAAGATTTTGTGAGGTTATGGCCAAGGCATGAGATCACGGATTATCATGAATCATGCAAAGCTACTCTAGCAGACATCAAGAATAAAAATGTGCTGGAAATGAGCAGACTAGGTGCTGTTCAAGTAAACCTCATTTTCATGATATGATCAAAACAGGAAAAACTCATAAAAGATACTCATGTCCATGGAAACACAGTCGCTGAGGCTGTGTGTGTGTGTGTGTGTGTGTTTTCTTATTTTATTTAATTAAAAAGAATAAAGTCGGAGTTTTGCTGGGAATCTGCTGATTTAACTCTTACAAGGATCTTTAATTCAAAGATGAATTTCTCTGGAAAACTGCATTTCTCCATATCACTGAACATAAGGTGGGATGTATGCAGGATGGTTGCTGTAAGAATGCTAATAACACCAGCAATTCATCTTCCTCTAGATGTGTTTACTCGTGTTTATGTTTATTTAATTCTCGGCACAGCGGCTAAACTGAATCGTGATTAAAACACGGAGCTGAAAACACTGCAGGATCTCAGTCAACACTTTTTTTTTGCTAATGAAATAAGGATTGAAGTGTTTTTAGGTCATGCAAGTGTCTGTTTGGGAATCCTGTCTCCTGTCTGTGAATGCAGCAGCTGCTGCAGGTGTGGCACCGACAGAAACTATCAGTTTGATCGCAAACTGGTCGAGTCTGTCTGCTCGTATGGCAGCCAGCCTGCAGTCCTGATTGGCTGCTGAAAGCTCATGTAAATGTGTGCGAGTGTTTATGTAACACTGCAGTGAAACAGTGTCAGGCAGAGAACGAGCCGAGGACTGCGCCTGTGTCTCTGAATACTAATCAAATACAACTGCACATCTGACCTGTTTGTACTTCAAGTGTTTACACTTCAGGACACTTGGAATGTTTACAGGATCTTAAGTTATTCTATTCACATACAAAGTCCAGAATAATCACTCTCCATCATCTCTTAAAGACCCTGTAGTATCAAATTATTCCAGTAGGGCA